CAACAGAGCACGATAATCCCCAACGCGAGGCAGTGGGTGCACAAAGTGCTCAAGACTTTCGAGGTCTTTCGTACAGCGGTAGACAACCTCGGAGATCCATGCTCGGCAGAATGCAGATAGCGACGGACTTTGTCCTCCAACACTCGAAGAGCATCTCGAGATGCCACTTCGGCGAGATTGCCCAGACGTCGTAGACGTTTATGATAAGAAGGATCATGACGCCTAACGTCGTTTTGCGCACCGCGCTTCTCGGTAGTAGCCCGAAAAGCCGAAGGGCCATGCGCTGATCTCAAGCTATGGCCCTGAGCAGCTGTGATCGTAGACTTACCCGTGTGAGAAACCACAGTTCTCGCGAAAGCGTGATGGATAGCTCCATATGTCACAGGGCGACAATACGCAGGAAGTCGGCGTTGCGCCTTAAATTTGGCAAACTCAAATCTAAGATGGCGCTTAACGCGCACGTCCACTTTCTTGTGACTTCGCTGTAAGGTAGACAGCGAAGATAGTCTCCGGTACCGCTGCACCCATCGCTCAAAGCGCACATCATCATCTGCAGCGGTTTCGCCAGGGCGAGCACCACAGAGATTGTCCGCAGGAGCACCACCTTTTTGATCTCGATGTCGAGTGCGGTACCGATCCATTGGGAGCTCTTGGGATACCAAAAGGAGTTCGCAGAGCTTTCCGCTGATCAAGCTAGCTTGTGTAGTGGCCGGAGGCCCGACTACGTAGACGCATAATGATCGAGTGATCGTGTCTTTTGCTTTAGTAGCGTCATCCTCCGAGCGGAAGCCGTATTTTACTCGAGTGTGTAAGACCGAAGTGGATACGAGAGCAGGAGAGCCGCCCTGTGAACAGCTTTCAATTGCTGCTCCTGTGCCTCGTCGAAGCAATTCGTTATAACACAACTTCTCCCGGAAGCTGAGGGGTCGAGGAACGGACCTTGTCTTTGCAGTGTTAGAGCTAAACTCACGTCTCGCTTTTGGCGCACTTCATCATCCTCGTCATCCCATGCTGGGAAAGGAGTGTCCGACTTGTAGCCAACTCCCTTTTATTCCTCGACGAGGAAACCTGTCGCCGCGGGCAGGCGCGGTGTGTTTCGCCCATTTGCCGACGGCTTGGGATGTGCTTCCCGTGAAGCTGCGGACGTACTGTCCGGAGATGCACCCTGTGCAGAAGAAGAGGGCTTTGCCCGCGGACGCCTCGCTACCAGCTAGGTTGGGTGTTTTGTGTGTCGTAGACACAGTGCTCATAGAGCTGATAAGGTTTAGAAATGATCTTATGTACGTGGAGATGTCTCAGACACGCGAGCCTCGTATGAGGCGACCATTAAATGTGAGTTGACGAGATTCACAATTTTAATGGGGGAGAGCGTAAAGGTCACGCGTGCCCTTGTGATAAAGGGCGGGTCGCACAATCTTGTGCGACCGCATGTATGTGTGTATTGCACCGTCAGTGTACTAACACAGTGACCATAATAAGAAGCCATCACATGGCAGGATTGCCAGTTGTATTGCATGTTACAATATTGTTTTGATTTCGCTATATTAATCAGTTATTACTATATTTATTAGGAAAAACTAGAGTTTTAGATATTTGCAGCAGAGCCGCAAATATCTTAAACGGAAGAGCGTCTTTACCTTGGTTAAGGTTTCAAGTACTCTTGGAGGTAGCGGATTGCAATTCACTACACTTGTACTGGTTCTATTATAAAACGTAGGTCGGTGGCCTTAGCTTAGCTTCCTCTAAGCAAAGATCTTCAGCAGGCCTGCAGAACTTCTCGGTTTAATTTGGGCGATGCCGCCTATATCTAAATCAAGAGATTTTTATCCATATTGTAAACCTAATCAAATGTATAACTACTGGATGGTCTAGCCATATACTGACTTCTTGTTTAAGTGTAAGCGCACCAGTGCGTATCACAACACTATTGTGTATCCCACACAAGTATGTCATTACACCATATTGTGTGACCCACCCGTTACAGTATACGTACCGTATCGTGGTGTCCATTGTACTTACACTATTGCCCATAAAAGATTAGAGTCAAACTCACAAGAACCAAAGTATAGAAGTACAATATTAAGTGTTGTACGGATACGGGAGTGATATTAAGGAGAGAAGAGATCTATGGGAAACGTTGACTACAAGATAATCCAAAATGACGAAATTTTCTATTAGACCCATATCATGAGATGCAATAGATAGATACAACTAAGAATTAGTGTAATTTGACTCATTGCAAATATATGTCACTCTTGAAACAAGACAGCAAACAAGGTACTCAGTTTCTCATCCATATGTTAAGTCGTGCATAATACACAGCAAAAGATTGATAGAGATTCTAGCTTCGCTTCTAGATGAAGCGAAGGATCCATTATTCGCTCATTTGTTTGTTGACACGGGTGCACAGCAACCCTGTCGCACATTCTCGGTGAGATTGTTAGAGTGGAAAGTGTAACTTTTTTGCTTGAAATTGCAATTGGGTAGCAGGGTTGTGTCAGATACCCAACAGAAATCAAAATTTAATTTCATGGCGTCCAATCCTGGCGACGATCAGCGTGTGAGCGAACTGTTTGCCCAAGTTGTCGGGAAGTCTAAATCCATTGTCCATGGATTTCTTTCCATGGATACGGCGTCCGACTCAGCCGCCGTGCAGCTTATTTGGAGCAAAATGGATTTGGTAAACAATGTGACGTACAAGTTTCACCATTGTCACCACGTCAGTGCTCTCAGTCAAAATCCAAAAGTTCATTCCTCAGGATTCCCTACTGAGTATTCCTGCGATTACACGACTGTGTCTCCCTCTGGAAAGCGCATAGTGATAGTAAAAGTGGAGAAATCAAAGGAAGATAGCGCACCCGAGGGCATTTTTTGTGGTAATTAGTGGTCTTACTTCATATTTACGCGTTTAATGCTGACGCTTGCGTAAATACAATTTTGTGGGTAGTGTTCGAAGAGAACAAGTTAGTATCCTCATTCAAGGCCCCAAAGACGCTGCACGGAGCTATCTACCTTGGAGAACGAGAGGGTGGCATCGCTTGGTCGAATGATGAGAACACGATCGCATACGTTGCAGAAAAAAAAGTGACTGAGTCACCAGCGTATTGGAAAAATGTTAACAATGAGCGCGAAGAGGAGGGAATGTCAAAGTGTACGACTCTCCATGCTGGGACCAAATTTAAATATGTTGACGACTGGGGTGAACAGTATGAAGGCAAGAAGACAGCGTCGATTTATCTGGCCACTCTCGCGACTGGGAAGATTCAAGAGGTGAAAGGTGTGCCAGAGAATTTAACTTGTGCAGATGTGGCATTCGTGCCCGGAGACAACGGGTTAGTGTTCGCAGCTACCGAGACGAACAAGCCCAAGCGATTAGGTATCGTATATTGCCACAACCGACCAATTACACTTTATCATGTAGTGTTGGACAAGAAAAATGCAACAAATAATGTTGTCAAGAAGGTGGAGTTGCAATTTAGTGATGAAGGGAGCAAAGAAGTTGGGACGATGAGAAGTCCGCGCTTCTCACCAAATGGCAAGCAGCTGGCATTCCTTGCGACCCGAGACATTGCCACCCATAATACGTGTAGCTTCTTGTGTGTAATGGACTGGGTTACGAAACAGACCTCCACTGTCATCCCCATCAAAGATGAACCTGAGAAGTCAATGATCGATATCACCAAAGCATTCAATGGCTTGTTTATCACTTCATTGCGTAGAAACGCGTGGTCATCGGACAGTAAAAGAATTTTCATCGAGACTCAGGTAGCCTCTCGGGTCGTTTGGAAATACGTCGACGTTGCTACAAAAACCCTTATCTCTCCTGAATACGTTGAAGGCTGCAAAATTGCAGTTGAAACCGTGCTGGATCGCAAAGACGACCATTTTTTAGTGCTGGTTATGTCTCCACTACGTCCTGGTAGTGTTTTTCTGGTGCACATTGATCCAGCTACTGGAAGACACATGCGAAAGCCCCTTTCCATCGACGATCAAAAAGGGGCCACAGCGTTCATTAAGAGCTGGAAAGTTATATCTATTCCAGCGTTCGTGTCAGATCGGCCCGCTGCTGCTGATAAGAAGATATTCGAAATTCCAGCTGTGTTGGAAGATCTCGTAATTCCGTCGGTATCAAGTTCAGCTGATTATGAAGTGACTGTAGTTATTCCAAACTGCACCCCACCACGTGACGGGTATCCCGTCATCTTGGAGTTACATGGCGGACCACACAGTAACTCTTCTGTCATGTACCGAATTCTGTCTGATTTTTGGGCTGCCCTGGGTTTTGCTTCTATTACAGTCAACTATCGAGGCAGTACTGGATTCGGAATGAAAGCGCTGGAGTCATTAATCGGCAAAGTTGGTACGCAGGATGTGTACGACTGTCACTATGCACTCAAGTATGTTTTGGATAATAGTTCGAAACTGGGTCTGTCTCTGGACCAAAACCGAGTGCACTGTTCTGGAGGCAGCCACGGAGGATTTCTCGCCGCGCATCTCATTGCACAATTTCCAGGATTTTACAAGTCTATGGTAACCCGTAACCCAGTGACAAATATGGCGAGTCTATTTTACACGTCAGATATTCCAGAGTGGGGACTCGCGTGTGCAGGCATCCAGCGGTTTGAATATATTCATACATCTCAGAAACTGCAAAATTCTAGTAGCAATCTGCCACCATTGACGTCAGAAGCGCGTCTGGCAATTCTAAGCAAATTGTGGCAGCATTCACCCGTCAGCAACGACTTGACTAGAGTAAGGACGCCGACCCTTTTTGGATTGGGTGGAAAAGATAAACGTGTGCCACCGAATCAAGGATTGGAATTTCGAGCGACTATCGCAAGCTACAATGTGCCGACACAACTCCTTTGGTACCCAAATGACTCGCACCCACTGGGCTCCGTCGAAGCGTTTGGTGATTTCTCTGTTAATTGGGGCCTGTGGGTGATCCGACACAATCCCAAGTAGATGATTTGCGCAATTTTCGATCAAATCAGTAAGTCGAAAAGTTGTTGTGGAGATGTATATGTCCCTCGTACGTGCGCACCTCAATCACGCCAGCAAATCCTCTAGTCGTAAAACACCAACTTTTGTTGCGCTTGATGAAATGCAGCGCAAGTAGGGCCATACGGCTACAGTGGTGTAAAGAGTTTTTTGTCAGGTTAGGGATGAAAAGAATTATCAGGTCTTGTAGGTGTAGGTCTTAGCCCACTAAGTACTTTTTGATCTATAGAAAATAAGACTTCTGTTAACTCAAGCTTTGATTTTAATGGGAAAAGAGGATAGATCTTTTAAATCCACAAGCACAATCGTGGAAGTCTCGGAAAACGAAGGCACGGTAATAAGCCGCACTTGCTGACCATTAAGTCCTGTAAATACAGATAGCTGGTTAACCTCGCAATTGTAAAACATGGTCAAACCTCACCTTTTATTAAACGGGTGCTGAAGCACGGCTGGTTACCCGTGAAATAAACGTGTGGACAGGTTTCAAAGATGAACGGATCTTCATTTGCCATGGGAAAACACGCAAGAATATCGGGAGCAGTCGGAGCTGCGTGACACCACTCGACACATCGTTGCAAGTAGTCCAATGCACGTTCTTGCTCTCTTTGCTCTTCATCGAGATGTTTAGCCATGTCATCGTTATTATTGTCATGACCAGGAAGTGTACATTGCAACATGCTGCGCAGAGGTTGACCAGCATCTCCAAACAGCTGAACGCCACCAATTTGTGCCTCGTACGGGTTCGTGACACATCGAAAACTCTTGAACCGCGAGCTACGCGGGAACAAACACGGATGAAAACTCTGTTGTGGTAGCGTGTAATTGCTAGGATCCGACGCTCCAGGCATGAGATCCACACACATGGTAGCAGCTAAAGTCGATACAATTTCGTCTGCATTTCTCAGAGGTTCAACCTCCAGAGCTAATTCCCCAGCTGTCTTACGCTTGAGCGTTGGTACTTGTATTTCCCCACTCTCTGCTTCGAGAGTATTTCCAGCAATTATTGTTCGAACAATGTTCGATACAAACTGCAGTTCGCTTTGCGTGCCCAAACGCCCTGCCAGATAGTCGACAAGAATGTGATTCCGAAGCGGTTGCCCGTCATTGTTGCGCCCAATATTCAACCCGGATATCAAGGCCACATATTGACTATCTTGCCTTGTTGGCAGAGGATGCTGGGGTGGAAACGATGGAACATATATCTCTTTGACGTGGAAGCGACCATCAGATCCGCCTTGATTTACGTAACCACGAACCCCAAGCACAACGCCTGTGACGAATTCAGCAACTTTGATATCTCCTACGAGTTGCACACGACCACTTTCGTCTTCAAGAAGCAATTCGTCTTCTTTTGTGGCAAGAGTTTGTTTGATTGTCTCGATAGGAGAGACACCATCTTCACTTAAAAGCGCGTCAAATAGATCTGGTTTGGCTTCCAGCACTTTAAGCAATGTACCAATAAGCACACACTCTTGGCCGTCAGTCCTTAAGTCGATCACTTTTGCTAACACTGGAACACGATTATTTGTGCGCTTCTGAACTTGAACATGCACTACATCACGCAATTGTTGCAGTCGACTCACGTAGATGTGCGAAAATTGCTGAGTGTATGACTTTTGCTTCAGCACAAAGCGTTGGTACGTGGGCGTGTACTCTATCGAATTTCGTGAGATCTATTGATGTGGCATTGTATGTTGCATGTTAGCTCGGTGGCAATGGAAAAGAAACTAGTGTTAAGCAGAAGATCTGGTGACGAGGACGTACCATTTCCTTTGGTACTGCAGTGTGACGTCCGAAAATGTTAGGATCTATGGCCAATCAGAAAAAAGAGACTCACTTTCTCGGTCAATAATACTGGAGAGATAGTCGAATTATATAATCTCATACTTCTCATCATACTCGTCCAATTGTTGGGCAAGACACGCCTCAACAGTGCACATCCAAAGTAACTAAGCATCTACGATTGCTATACACCTCAACTGTCAGACGTTGTAATGGGGTACGCACTTGCCGATCGGACAAGCGATCAAACCTGATACTATAGCAGCCCCATCCATACTAGTAATTGCCATCAATTTTGGCCAACCAAATATCTCGATTGCGTGCACTTAAGTAAAATTCAGTACAATTGTACAAAATTCACATCAAACCTTGGTGTAATTGGTACTTATGAAAGTGAAAGATACGTGGGCTGTCAGTTGAAAGTTGCTATGTATTATTATCTTATTACACGGCTATGCCTACTCGGCCCTGACTAAGATATTACATTGCTTCAATCCGCTGGGGTATTTTTTACTTGACTTTTTGTACGAGTCGCCATCCCGAAGTCCTTATTGGCTGTTGTCGGTAATATTTTGCATGT